CTGGGCAGGCGTAGGCGCAGGCAAAGACTTCTTGGTGATGTGTGGGTAGGTGTGTGCGCGCGCGTGCAGGTGTTGGTGTTGGTTATGGCTATGGCCATTGAGGTGGTGGTGGTTGTGTTGTCGATGCTGCTGCTGCTGTGGATGACGATGATGATGATGGTGGTGGTGGTGGTGGTGGTGGTGCGAGTCCGAGTCCGAGTCCGACGCGGACGACGAGGGGTAGTACGCCGCATGGTGCGTGTTCTCCGCGCCTGCGCCAGTGAAGAAGCAGAACCTACAATACCAAATCAGCCCATGTCCCTCCTTCCCCGATTCAAGAAAAAGAATACACACCGATTCAAGAACTGCCTATAATCCGTACCCGGGCTCTGTCGTCCCAGTGCCACGGGCCTTTGCTCGCCCTCCTCCTCCTCATCGACTTGGATCCCAAGCTCGACCCCAAGGCCGAGCCCGAGCACATCCAGTGCTGCCCACTCGGGCTCGGGTTCAGCGGGAGACGGGCCGGGTGAGCTGTCTCGCGAGCTGCTGAGGGAGGGCGTGGATTGTAGGCTGCTGTCTTCGCTCTCGTGGTCGTCCTGCGGGAGGGACAAGAAAGGGAGGGGCGGAGGCGGGAAAGCGTACGAGCGTCCTGGGACAGGCGTATCCTCAACTTCGACGTCTACTTCGTCGTCGAGGTGGGGTTGGAGGACGACCTCGACTTCGTCCATCTCTTCCGCCTCTTCTGCGTCCACCACATCAACTTCCACCACATTCACTTCCACATCGACGTCGCTCAAGCCATTCTCGACCTGAACTCCAGCGTCCAGCTCCCGCTCACCAATCGACGGCGTCCGCCTCACACCTGCGTCCTCCATCTCCATCGCCGGCGCACCAAAGTACCCTCTGCGGTGGCGCCTAGCACCCGGAGCATCTCCAGAGGCCCCAGAAGCAAGAGTCGGAGTAGTAGGAGACGGAGCAGCCGAATCATCCAGCGCCCGTCCTCTGCGTGCGAAGAACACATGTTGGGTATGTGCGTTGTCGTCGATGTCGCGCGGGGAGCCCAGTGGTGCGGGTGACGAGGAAGACGATGAAGAGGCTGCTTTTTCGGGCCATGGGATCGAATTGTTCTCCGTCGTGGTAGCAGCAGAAGAGGAAGATGAGGGGTAGGGCGGCCGTGCGTACGAGAAGGTGGGGGGCGTAGCTGCAGGGAACGACTTGGGTCTCTGTGTCGTCGTCGTAGGGTACGACTGTGTGCGCGTATGATTGTGTGTCGGTTTAGAGGAGAAGTAGTCGAAATTTGCACGCGGTTTCCATGGTAATGCTTCTGCAAAGTCGTAGCGGGAGCCGAGGGTGCGGGGCGGGGAGGAGGCGGAGGAGCTGGAGGAGCTGGATGACAACTTGATGGTTGGGACGAGGAAGTTGTTGTTAACGGAAGACCGCTGTTGGGGCTGGACGACGACTTTTTCGAGCTCGGACCTCAGATCCGCGAGGTCGACGCTCTCCGCCGGTGAGCTCTCGTCGTCGTCGTCGCTGCTGGTCCTCGCCTTTCTCATGCGCCTCGCCTTCCTCGCCTCCGTACTCTTCACCCCCTCCTCCCTCTTCTGCTTAACAACACTAAACTCGGCCAGATAATCCCTCCCACCATTATTATCCCACACCTCCCTGCCCTCCAACGAGTACCTCACCGCCAGCCACATCCGCTTCCCCTCAATGCGCGGCAAAAGATCGTTCAGGCGCACCGTAAACACAAACACATCGTGCAAAGGCGACGGCGAGGAGAGGTAGCGCGCGGTGACCTCCGAGGTGGTCTGCCATGCGTCAAAGGTGAACCGCGCGACGACCCATTTCGAGTAGGCGAGGTTGCGCACGCGTACGACGCCGCGGATGGACGTGTTGTCCGGCGCGAGTGTCAGCTCTTCCAGAAGGACGTCCGTGCCCAAATCGACGACACCCGCCGGGCGTAAAGGCATGTTGGGGGTATGCATGACCAGTGACTTGCGCGGCGCCACATTGTTGGCGTTGTTGGAAGAGGAGGAGGAAGATCCGAAGATGAAAGAGGGGAAATCGGTATCGGTGCCTGAAGTGTCGTCTGTGGGGGACCCGTCGCGAGACACGGCGAGGGGCTTCTGCTCGGCGAGGAAGAGCTTGACTTGCTCGAGCTTGGCGGGGAAGTGCACGGCTTTGGTGTGTGTGGGCGTTGCGGGCTCGCTGCGGCTATTGGCGAGGGATGTGACGACGGAGAGGGACTTGGAGGGCTTCAGGGACGATTTGACGAGCTGCCCTGACTTTTTGCGGATCAGGCGTGGTTGGGACTGGGAGGTGGGTACGGCAAAGGCGGAGGAGGAGGGGGAAGAGGAGGTTGGATAGGAGTGTGAGCGGGGCGAGGGCAGTGGGGCGTGGGCGTGCGACTCGGAGAAGTTGCGGGTTTTGAGATGCTCGGTTGTGAGGCGCAGCGAGACGCCGGGGGTGTAGATGAGCGGAGGGCGTGTGGGCGTGGGCGTGGGCGCGGTGGGTGTGGCGCTGGTTGGGGTAGAGTGGTCGAGTGTGCGGACGCCACGAACGCGTTTTACGCGGGGACGGGTAGTAGCGGGGCCTGGAGAGCTGCTGCTGCTCGAGTCGGACGAATCGTCGTGGCGGGCGACGAGCTTTATTGGAGCGGGCATCTCGGGCGGCGACGAGGGCGCGCTGCGGCTGGCAGTGCGTGGGGGTCCAGAGGAAATGCGGCGGGGAATAAGAGGAAGAGGGGCGCCTGCTGAGTTCATGTTTCGCGAGGTGTATAGGGGAGGCGCTGTGGCCATCGTTGCGATCATGGGGCGCAGTGGGGCGCAAGTGGGGCGCAATGGGACGCAGGAACCTACAGCAGCGGTTAATTCAGCTGCATAGTCAATATTTAAAAGACTCGCGTTGACGGCGCGTCAGTCCGCGGAGGCGCCAAGTGCGGACTTATAGGGCAGCACAGCGGGGTTATGATAGAGTTGTGATCTCCGTGCTCTCGCCTTTATGACGGGATATATGACAACACCCGAATGACTGTCACACGTTTGTCTCACCATACAACACAACGTTCATCCCAATCAACTCCTCCGTGCATCCCCCGAGTGCCAAGCGACCTACCTACCATGCAATTACAGTCCCGGACTTGTAGTGTCTGCGATTCAGAGCAAGCCGACCCAACCAACTGCTAGATCTTCGTCTCCGAAACTCGTCAGCAACAGCCCTCGGCGCCGTTGATGCTCGTTGATGACGCGGTTGCTGACCAGTTTTTTGCATTTCAAATATTCACCGTCATCAATGCCGTTACTTCTCGACTGCTCTCGAGTCTTCCATTATTGTATCTCTCCAAGCTTGCTCCAACTCCCCAGCGACGCTACGACTACTTAAGTACATTCCGCGGGTCTGGGCAACGCACACCCAAGCCATCACCCGTTGATTCCCAGTCGCGTCTCCCTCTGGTACCTTGCCAACTCTGCAGGCTCAGGCTGCAGGTAG